AGGACTTCTCCGCTACCTGTGCCAGAGGGCTGGGAGGGAATGGGATGTGGGTCCTAGAGGGCTTGCGCCAGGGCTGGACTGACCTTCTAGGGCTGGTGGCCAGGGAAAAGGGGGAATGACCCCATGTTTAGAACATCTTCAGTGTAAGCCGAGGGGCTGTGGCTCCCCAGCACCTGTGAGACAGTGGGAAGGCTGCACCGGTGCTGCTCAGCAAGGATGTGATCCCCAAGACTGGCTGCCTCTCCCAGGGCCCGCAGATGCTGCATCCACCTGGAAATGGGCTTTTCTCGAGCTTGGCTTCCCCAGGATGTGAGGGTAATGGGGAGGGACCTTCCAGCCACATGCCCTTGGCTGTGCAGCGACCAGGAGGGCGTTAGGAGCTGGGACCTGCCCTCCCTGCTGAGCCCAGGGTGCCCCATGGGAGCCAGGTGCCCTGCATAGCTCCAGCCAGCCCAGGTGTCCCAGGACACCCTTCAAGGAGAGTGCCAGGGATCCTCGGAGGACCCATGGAGGACTTACAGCTTGACACAAATTCCTCCAGCCCTGTCCCACCTCCGCTGCTTCCTTATTTTTCTCTTTGGCTTTCCAAAGCTCTCCCCTTGCAAAACCCAGAACCGAAATTACAGGGCTGGGCCCTCCCTTCCCAGCCCCCTCGCTCCCTCCTTCCTACAGCCACCTCCGCAGGTTCCTCAGTGCTGGGAGGCTGAGCGGGACCAACCGTGTTCCCTGGACCACTGAGGTCCTTCAGCCAGCCCGGCAGACTGGCCACAGGGAAGCAGCTCCCACATCCTGGTGGCCTCTTGATCTTCTCACATTTACCAGAAGGGAGCATGATCCCCTTTCCCTTCCCTCCTCCCTCAAGATGTCTCATCTTCATGTTGGATGCACCTCCCTTTCGTTCAATGCCGGGCAGGCAGAAGGTCTCAAGCAGCTCGTGCAGTCCAAGAGCAAGCTCTTTCTTCACCACTGCAGAGCCTTTCCTCCGTGGGCCACAATCTCACGTGATTTTGCTTGCCTTCAACCAAGCCACCCCCATTTCCTGCTGCTCCACGGCCTCGTCCCACGTCAGTTCTGGCGGGTGGTGAAAAGAAACCACAGAAACATGAACTGGGGAAAAAGCACCAGCAGAGGGAAAGCAAACAGGGTTCCCGGGGCATAGCAAAGGCAGTTGGCCATGAAGTGAGGTTTCCCCTATGCAAGGCATCAGGGAGGTTTGGTGGTGGTGGCAGCTGGTGGGTTTTGAAATTGGTTTTGAGCAGAAATTGCTGCAAATCAGAAGTTTCCTTTGCCAGATCCACTCCTAATATCTGCTGCAAAACTGAGCAGAAAACTGGTTTCACATAGGCACTTCTGGGAGGCTGGAGTCTCGGTCCCCAGCTTGACCACGAAGATATCCTTGCTCCAGCACTGGTGGCCCCACAGCCAGTGGCTAACCCGCAGAGACACATGCTGGCCTCCAACAGCACTGCCCTGGATTCACCTTCAAGGGAGAGGTGGTTGGTGAGGGGTAGAAGGTTTCACCAGCAAACATCCCACCCACGACGTGGGCCTGCTGGGCACCCTGCCTCTGAAAACACAGGCCACATCTGGATGTTTTGAGTGGGGTGCTCTGAACTAGAAGCTCTCTCTGATGG